AATTTTTTTTTTGTAACCTTGGCCAGATCTGTGCCTTGCCACAGTTCTGTCTCTGAGCTCTTCAGGCAGTTCCTTTGACCTCATGATTCTCATTTGCTCTGACATGCAGTGTGAGCTGTAGGGTCTTATATAGACAGGTGGGTGGCTTTCCTAATCACGGTCAATCAGTATAATCAAACACAGCTGGACTCAAATGAAGGTGTAGAACCATCTCAGGGATGATCAGAAGAAATGGACAGCACCTAAGTTAAATATATGAGTGTCACAGCAAAGGGTCTGAATACTTATGACCATGTGATAGTTCAGTTTTTCTTTTTTAATAAATCTGCAAAAATGTCAAAAATTCTGTGTTTTTCTGTCAATATGGGGTGCTGTGTGTACATTAATGAGGAAAAAAATGAACTTAAATAATTTTAGCATATGGCTGCAATATAACAGAGTGAAAAATATAAGGGGGTTTGAATACTTTCCGTACCCACTGTAAATCACAAAATTACTTCAGCCATTCCAAAATGTGACAAAGTATTAATTAAGTTAGATAATAAATAAATAAATACATTTTGTGTCTCCTTGTTATAAAAGGCTGCTTTCTGTAAGTAACACAGATGTGTGAGATTATCTGGCTATGTCTGAGTCCCTATAATTTGGCAATCACTCCCTCATTATTAATCGTCTTTCTCAACACTTTTTTTATGCACATACAGTATAGTCTGTGGAAGTGTATCATTTTAATTTGCATCAGTACTGAATCAATGCCTGTGTTACAGAGTCCTTGTTTCTGGTGAAAATGTGAAATTTCCAAAGCTTGTAAATGATGATGATGATGATGGTGATTGCAAAATGTATCTGAGAGTCATGTGCAGTTTCAATCTTTACTGCTATCTTATCACTTAATGTAAGTTTAAACATTTGAGCTTCATTTTCACAGTAACACACACTCAAACAAATCCACTTCCTGGCAGGAAAGTGTGTTTATTACTCTCGGTTTGCCAGTGGTCCTGCAGTTGCTCCTTATCTGTCCTCACAGTCTTGTTGAACATATTATGTGCATTCATTGTTAGTGTCCTCTCATGTATTCAGTTACCCGTACATACCGGTTCTACCTTCACGACTACTGGAGGTGCTGAGCTCACCTACTCCCTTCATCATTGGAGTCCACTCCATGTTTCAGAATGAAATCCAGGATCTGGTGAGTGCAGATGTGTCACAGACCTCCAGCAATCTCTCTTACTGGCATGGGGTAGTTAAAGATCATAAATTGTTGGGAGCTTTCAAACACTTGTGAATTATTAACAAACAGTGGAAAGTTTTTGTTTATTTTCATGCACTTAGGTGATGATTCATTGGGACATTTTACAACTTTTTACTGACCAGGAAAGTTTTAATTTACAGTAACAGGCAACCAGGAAAGTTTTAATTTACAGTAACAGGCAGTTTGGTTTTTAAGCATGAAGATTAAAGAACCTGCCTTTCAACAACATGTTGATTTAGCTGGTTTCAGCTGACCCTCATCAGGCAAATGCATTGTTCCTCACAGAACTCCCTGCAGCTGCAATCACACCATCTGACCTGTCAGTGTTTTATGTGTGTTCACTAGTTGGATGTTATTATTGCTGACCTGGATGGAGGAACAATAAAGATTCCTGAGTGCATCCACTTGTCCCTGCTCCCTGAACCTCTCCTACAACAAACACAGACCGCTCTGTCCTTGGTAAGCACCGATGGCACACATTCAGGCTCAGCCTTGTTACCCCAGTAATGAAAATACAGTATGATGGCATTTGAATTGAGTGAGCAAAAATGAATTCATTCATGAAATCATTCAACTTTGAACACCAAAACACACTATGTCCTTGTTTAGCATCTGTAAATTTGTCTGTCTTTTGCACACAGTCTTGTATTAATACACAGATAAGACATTTACTCAAGTCATTCTTTAGTGACTGCGAGTAATATTGATGTGCTTACTTTTCTTTCTTTATCAAATCATGTGGCACTTCTTGTGGCATGCTGTTATGTCCTGTTACTGTACCTATCATGCATGAAGAATGTTCACTTCTGTTGCTGTTGCAGTTATCTGTTCAATGAAAACAAATTAAACATCTGGAGATTATTTTTTCTCAGGTTTTACATCCTGATCTGGAGATAGCAGACAATGCATTCCCTCCACCTCGCACTGCACCCTCCAACCTCAAGTTGTTGGTAAGTCAGCATGGCTATCACATGCCCTCCCTTCATTCATGATCCTCAGGGTGTCTCATCAAAAGGAGAGGCCTACTCCCACATGTTTGCCTTCATCAGAAAAAAATCTGTTATCATGAAAAGGTCAGCACTGGAATGAAGACACTGACAGTAAACCATTAATAACAAATATTATTTGTTGCATTAACTTATCAGACTGCAGTTGTGGTATAGCAGTTTGATTTGTGTGTGTGTGTGTGTGTGTGTGTGTGTGTGTGTGTGTTTTCAGGACAAGGAGGTGAGGGCCGTCTTTCTCAGGCTGTTTGCACAACTCTTCCAGGGCTACAGGTCTTGCCTGCAGCTCATCCGCATCCATTCTGAACCTGTTATTCATTTTCACAAGGTGAGATAATGATGGAGTGAAACAACAATATAAACATTTTTTTCCACTATGCGACCTTAGATTAAACTCCTTTAGGATATGCTGCTCTGCAAACACATTGTTCTTTTAATCTGCCAAGAATGTTTTGGAATGAAACATGTGGTAAAGACCTGACAGATCAGCGTGTCAGGGCTGTGTAGTACATGTTAGTGTGAGTATGCGTGTTGTTTTAAATGTGTTGTTGAGGCCATAAGACTCTCTTGTGATGCTGTCTTTTTGTTTATGGAAGCTTCGGACACAGTCCTGTAACTCTGGGCAAAGCCCGGCATTAGGCCGTATGAAACGTATTAGGTTTACATTTTTGTTTTGTGCCAGGTTTTTTGTTTGTTCATGTCTGCGGTGTTTCCGTGGTAACTCCTTAGCACAACATCCTCAAAGTACCCCACATGGATCACATTATAAACAAACGCTCTGCTTAGCCGCCTGGAATCAGAGTGGGGAAGGCTTGAGTGAACTGTGTCGTATCTCTTCCACCCACATGCACAAATAATTAAGCATAAAGTAAATGAAACTAATTTGCATGTACTCATTTGTAACTAGATTTATTTTTGCTTATTGTACATGCTGAAGACGTTATCCATGATTTCAGTGATAAAAGATGCTGGTCTCAAGCCCCCTTGCAGAGATATTTTTGTTTGTAATGCTGTTTTACTATGCTTGTTTTTCAGCTCACAGTATATCCATATGCACAAAATTACATTGCTCCCATCTTTGTGGGATTGTAATTACTCTAATTTTGACATTATCCAGACTGCCTTCCTTGGCCAGCGAGGCCTCATTGAGAATGATTTCCTGACCAAGGTTCTGGATGGCATGGCCTTCGCTGGCTTTGTTTCAGACAGAGGTCCTCCTTACCGAGCCTGCGATCTCTTTGATGAGGTACTGTACCGTGATGCTCCATTTTATTAGTCTTCACTTTTTATTGAAGTTTATACACTAACTTTTTACACAAAGTGATATCCAGTATATTAAATATTCAACCAGTTGATTAAAGTCAGTATCAGTTAGGACTGTCCTGCAGGAACACTGTTCATCAGTAAAACCTCTGAATGCCCCCCCCCCCCCCCTGTTTGTGTGTTTGTCACTTATGTGTTTGGTAGCTGGTGGCCTTAGACATTGACAGCTTTAAGGAAGAAGAAATCAGCCCTGCCAAGCTGCAGAAACACATCAGGGAGCTCTCTGAGCAGCTGTACAGAAATGTAAGGCGTAATGCAAGTAAATATTGGTGTTGCACCATATAGACCTTCTCGTTTTTGCATGCTCTACATGTGTTTGGTTGTATATTCACTGTACATACGCTAACCGGCCACTTTATCAGGTACACCTGTACAGTTGTATCCAGTTATTGTAGTCGTATCCAGAAGTTGTAGTTAAAGAATATTAGGAACACCTCTGAATATAACATAGTCCAGTACAACACCACCTTTAACTATGACCTCAATAATAAACATATAATTGAATTTATACATTTATGACAGTCTCACCAAAGACTGAAACATTTTGAGCTTCATAAACACAGGTGTTAAGGGGGAAGTGTTGCGTTGAATTGCATACAATTGTACAGGTGTACTTAATAAAGTGGCCAGTGAGTGTATATACAGCTGTGTATCCTTTTAATACATTGCTCCCTGGCGGATGTCCTGTAGGAGAACCCAAACCCCCACATGGCATTCCAGAAGGTGCCTCGGCCATCAGAAGGATCCCACCTGCGCGTGCACCAAGTACCTTTCCCTCTGCTGGATGATGATAAGGTGGAAAAGATGCTGCAAGAGGGTGTGGCAAAACTCAGTAATATACCTCCTCCTACACGTGCTGAGAGGAAGTGTGTTGTACCTGCCGGACCAGCTGTTGGTATGGCCAGTTTTAAACTCCTGTAATATACAGTACACAGGGTACTGCTGTGGTGATGTGAATATTCACTTGTGCTACGTTTCCACTATCGGAATCTAACGAGCGATGTACCCCATACTTCCTTTAACCATCACCAAGCATAGCCTCTGGAGTTGATACAGACCATCCTGCTTTGTTTTTCCACTGTACTTTTTCTCTGTTTATCTCTATTTAAAGGAGGGAGGGGCTGCTGCTCTTTCACACACGCAGTCAGCTGTGTGTTTACACATGTTGCTAGTAATGCTAATACTTGAGGTGTGAAGATGCAGATATTTACTACTTCCTGAGGAGTGTTGAAATTTGCCAATTTGTTTTTTGTTTTTTGGTTAAATCTTTCCCACAGTTATAGATTGAACATAAATGGTATCCTCAAAACAAATGTGTGACTTGTGAAAACGTTCTGATGTTTTGCAGCAGCTATAGTTTTAACCTGCAGTAATTCCTCTCCTCTCCTCCAGTGTCCTTTGTGGGTAAGTGTGGCTCCGTTTTTAACAGCGCTCGCAGGCTGGAGGTTGTGCGGAGCTGCATTTCCTTGATTTTTGACAACAAGATCCTGGAGACTGAAAAGGTGATGCACAGTGTCTTTCATCGGGGGAGCTAATCAACCTCTAAATAATCTCATTAACTTGAGAACTCTGTCCTTTTGTGTTATACCACTCTGACATGCTGTCGAGCTGTAGATCACTCCACACCGTCATCATGCTAATACCTCCCAGCTGACACTCAAACACAGAAATAAATAGGACCTACAGTATATTAAACACTCTCTGAATCCATGTTAGCTTAATAACTTTTATAGGCAATAATTGTTGTTGTAACACAGAGATTGATCAGTTCCTGTCAAATTGAGTTTGTCTCTAGAAGCATCTATACCCATGTGAGATGCCCAAAATGCATGCAATGTGTTTAAAATAGGGTGGTTGGTTGTATCACTGTACCTTCATAGAGTTATTCATGCCTGCATAGCTTATATCCTCTGAAGCCTTCACCTTCAAATTTTCAGAGTGAACACTGTTAACAATTCAGCAGGTCAAAGTAGCTGGAGGTATTGTTGCAAGCGATTAGATAACAATAAAAATGTTTTCTCTTCATTAATAGTTCATTAAATAAGGGTCCGCTTTCACAAAACGCCTGCAAATTTCTAGAAACAAGGTTGTGTCCCATTTTTTTGAACAGTTTGAAACTGACGTAGGCGATGCTCCATTGGCGACTTTTAGAGCTGTTGTGTGGCCACATTTCAGTTTTACTGTTTCAAGAAATGACACAGGCAGCAAGAAAACTGACAAACAATTTGCAAATACTGCCAGACGAAGGCAATACTAGCCCTGTTTAGGACTGACACAGTCCTGGATAGATCTCGCAAAAACAGGCAGGACATGACTGTGTGCAACATTTTAACAGAGATGGGCAACCAAAGTGGACACACAAATGCAAAACCAACCACTTAGTAGCCATCTTTAGTCTTTTCTCTGTTTCTTAAACAATTTCATTTTAATAAAGGAGTGTAGGAGCACGTTAAGTTAGAAGGAAAATTATACAAAACATTGCTGCTTTATTATTTAACATTTTTCATAGTTTTTTATATATCATGCCAAATATTGTATTTTGGACTTTTTATTTATGCAGTATCATATCGTGAGTTTTTGATATCATTACATCTCTATCACAGATTGTTGACTGCCTTCTCTCTGCCCTTGATCAATCTCTTTTGACAGGTCAGACACTTTATGTTTTTATTTTTCTAAAACCCTGTTCATCGACCCTTCCCTTAACAGACGCTACCGGCCGCACTGCGTGCATTGAAAGGCAAGACGGCTCGCCAGTGTCTGACTGAGGAACTGAGTCATCACGTTCAGCAGAACCGCGCCATACTTGACCACCAACAGTTTGACTACATCATTCGTATGATGAACTGTGCCCTCCAGGTAAGTGATGTAACAGATGGCCATGCCAGCACAAGTAGCAGACACCTCTTTCTGCTGCACCTGTACTGTAACCTGACAGAAAGTGTGTACAGCAGAACTCCATGCAGCCATGGAGGCATATTACAGTCTGGCTTTCTATTTCTTGTTATGTAAAACCCTTGATATAAAATCTGTCAATCTTTTAGCTGATCAAAAATTAACCACCATTAACCTTGATAATCAACTGATTGTTTTATTTAGATTAATATTTGAAGAAATATTCCTCTGAATATTGTTTGCATATTAATTGAATAAATTTTTTAAGCCAGCAGACAATGGTAAAGGTTGGCACTCGTCTTTCTCTGAGGCTTAGTCAACTCATGACCAAAACTGAGCTTAAGAATTGACTAAATAGTAAAAAATTTACAAAAGTATTTTTATTACCCAGCTTTTGACCAAAGCAGTATCTAGAACGGATGCCAATGTTTACTGTACAGTACTAAAGTCTGGTTGAATATGTACATGTTTCAACCCTGCATTCCAGATTTTAAGCAGATGCCATATTGTGCTGGTTCTTATTTAGCAAAAGCAGTGTTTAAGCAGGGCAGTAGTGCACATAACCTGTGTAACACAAATCTGCCTCTTCAACATCTTTTCCCCTTATTCTCATTATTGCCTTAGTTTACAACAGTCTGGCAGCTTCTTGTAGGACTGAGTCCCGACAGTGATGCTCATTGTTTATCAGAAAGTATGATTGTCTCTTCCTGGAGCCCTCATGCCTCGGCTACTTGTCAAAGTGAGTAAGTGATGTGTTTTTGTGCAGCACATAAAGATTCAGTGAGTCAGTCAGAGCAGCCAGGTCTTTATTGGTGGTTCCTCATATTTTACTGCCTTGAATCAGCCCTTTTCCGGGTTTTTTTTTTTTTTTTTTTTTTTTTTTTATTTTTAACAGCCCT